ATGCGGGGCTCGATCCCAGGACCCTGGGATCGTGACCTGAGCCGAAGGCAGCCGCTTAACCAACTGAGCCACCCAGGTGCCCCGAACGAAGCACTTGTTCTTAAGCCAGCTAGAATGTGTTCTAAGGGGCATTGGCATTGTAGCATGTTAACTGATTCCCCCAAGAAAGGTTCAATGGTCAAATAAAATTTGGGAACAATTGGGTCAAACCTAGTTTAGTTAGATTTTTCATAGTGGGACTTCTTGGGGCTTCATTATGTTTTGTTACTGGAAGGTTCTGAGAGGGAGACAAGTATTACTTGGGATTTGCTTTCTGCATCATACCCTAAACCCCATACTCCTACATTGCCCTTATAAGCGGCATCTTTTCTACTCTCATTACAGAACCTGTTTGGACAGGATTGGCCAACTGTTCTTGCCTTGCCTTTGGTTCTAGACTCAGGATTTGGGCCATAATTACTCTGGGAGTATCCTTGGTTCCCTAGGAGTCATGATTTCTGGTCAGAGGGATGTACCTGGAATCACAGGCTATGGGTGTGAAATCCAATTTGTGTTTTGTTTGGAAAAGAAATGTTTCATCTTGGAGCTTCAGGATGGTGAGTGGCTGGCGAGGTGCTGCAATGGCAAACAGGGTGCGTTGAGGAGACATGAGGATACCATCTTCTGACCTATTGTTCTGTCCAGGGAGGAACTTCAGATGGCCATGGAAATTCAACTCCTAGAAAAAGCAGACCCCAAACATAATGAGAAGAGAAAAGAGAAGAGGATGTTAAGTAGCTAAAATAGTCGATATGACTTTCCTCTTATGGAACTCAGAGGGTCCCGTACCCTCCTTGTAGTTGAACAGGTAGGACTCAGTATAGGTGTGTGCAGGTTTGGAGCTTCCTCATTCTGCTCTGCCCATTAGGCCCTGATCATTTTTCATGGCTTCTCAGTCCTCCCTTTGGTCCCTGACCCACACAGCCTTTTTCAAAGAGCTGCGGAGTTAATTGAGCTGTGAGAGGGTATACAATCCCAGGAATTGGTAGGCACTTTTAGCTGATTTGGGGGATGGTGAAGAAGGTGGATGTTAACATCCTGAGTTCACCAGGGATCTCCACTTAGGATGTACTGTAGGTAACAGGTGTAACTAAATCCCAAGTAAACAAATCCCATATCTTAACCAGGCAGAGGAAGGTTCAAAAGACAACTTGGTATTCTGAAATGGCAGTGAGCTGAAGGCCAGATTCACCATCCTGGGATGGTGAGGAAGCCTGGCTCAACCCTTGGGCAGTGTACCATCTGGGCAGAGCACTGGTATAGGAAGTTCCTGAGCCTATAAGGACAGTGTGATTACCAGAAACCCAGAAGAATTGTCCAGCAGGCAGCGGAAGCGACAAACAAAACTTCTTTCCAGATAGGAGGGGTCATCCAAGGGCTGATGCTGCAGGCTGTCGGTGGAGGAGCCACTAAGTGAGAGAAACTTCTCTCCTGCCAGAGCTGGGAAGACAGACAAATGAGGAAGCTCTACCAGAACACTCATCATCACAGAACTGAAATATCTCTAGTTCCCAAAGAAGCTGGTGGGTGGAGAGAATGTGGGGTCACAAGCCCTGTGGCCCAGTGAACCTTAGCCTTGCCCAGTAGGATGACCTTAATCCACCACTCCAGCCGGCTTTCTCATTCATCAGATGATGCTAGCAGTCCTGCCTGCCTCCATGCCTTAGAGTGTCATGAGAATCAAATTAAAAATGAGATGCTGTACATAGCATATATATCCAGGAACCCTATTGGTTCTACTGTTGGAGCCAACTACTTCTCATCACTTCACTCTACTGTGCTGGCCAGTCTCTCATTATCAGCTGGGTGGAACATCTAGTTGAGAAGAGCATGGACCCTGGACAAGTTATGTAACATCTCCATGGGCCCCAGTTATCTGATCTGACTTAATAAGGTTGTTAGGAGAAATATATTTATATATGTAAAGCAGTTGGAATAGTGCCTGGCACATTGTAACCTCTATATAAATTGGCTGTTACTCTCATCATTTTTTCCCCCTTGCTTTAAATTTGCCATAGCCTTCTAACTGGTGTCCCTGCTTCCACCCTTGCTCCTATGGTCTGTCCTCCACTCAGTAGCCAGAGTGACTTTATTTATTTATGAAAGGTTTTATTTTTATTTTATTTGACAGAGAGACACAGTGAGAGAGGGAACACAAGCAGGGGGAGCGGCAGGCAGAGGGAGAAGCAGGCTTCCCGCAGAGCAGGGAGCCCAATGCGGGGCTTGATTCCAGGACCCTGGGATCATGACCTGAACCGAAGGCAGATGCCCAATAACTGAGCCACCCAGGCGCCCCCAGAGTGACTTTAAAATATAGGTCAGATCATGTCCCTTTTGTGTTTAGAACTCTTCAGTGACTTCCTCCCTTAAAGACTGATTCCTTCCCGCACCCTTTCCTGCCCAGGCGCTGGCCAGTTTCCCCTTCCCTGTGCCCTTCTCAGTGGCCTCCTGGCCATTCCTTATCTATGCTAAGTGCACTTCTGCTTCGGGGGCTTTGCATTCATGCTGTTTCTTCCCCCTGCACTCTCCTGCCCCATTTATCCATGAAAAACAATGCTGCTTTCACCTGTTCTGGAGTGCTGGTTCAGTTTGCTCTCTTTCCTGTCCTAGAGGTTTGTAGGGAAGTCTTTGCAAAGGATAATGAGAAAAATCCCAAACTCTTGGGTTAAAAACAGAAGTACCAGTGAAGCTTCATTAGAAAGTCAAAGATGCAAAAACCAAATTTGTTCTCTTTTGCTGTAATTTTCAACCTGACAAGTCAGATTATAGTTACACGGATGGTTTTCCCTGTGTCACATGAAAACTGATTGGTCTAGACTTAAGTGCTGCAGAAGAATAAAAAAGCAGGCTAGAGGGAGGAACAAAGGAAGGCTTATGATCTGATAAGTTTTACTACTTTTGTAATCTCATTTAATAAAACCCCTAGCACAGTGCCTGGCACATGATATACCCTCAATAAATGTTAGAACATATACACACATGTATAAAACACATCAACTTGAATTTGGTTTAGTTGGGTGGTCTTCAGACATTTTTCTGGCATTTTTATAGCATGGCATTAAAGTTTTACTTTTATTCTGAAGAACTGTCATGCATATATTTATAAACATGTAGGTACACTGCTGTATGGTTTCTGCTATTGCAGGGGTATAACAGTGTAAAAGGTATTTAAAAGTATGAAATTATATGCAAAATTCCAGAGTATCCATTGTTAAGGACATAATTCAAACTTGGCAGTGTCAGGAGCTGTATGAAAGTCGGAACTTCAGATTTCTTTCTTTCTTTTTTTTTTTTTTAATTTTATTATGTTATGTTAGTCACCATACAATACCTCAAATTTCTTTTCCTTTCTCATTTGACCCTGGCTGGTCAACAGGGACAGGGGTGGAGGCACAGAGGTGCAAAGCTCAATGCTGAGAACAGGGTTCCTCCCTTCAGTGAGCTGATAATCTTATGGGAAAGAAAAAAAGTGAAGACCTGTTTTGGGATAAGTAACTACCCTGCTGGACTTACGGCAGGTCAAGACAGAGTCTTAGGCGGAATGTCTGGAGTGGGAGCAGGCTTCAGAAAGAGACGGACTAAAATCACAGCAGCCAAAGCTGAACTGAATAAAGCTGCGTCTTATGAAGTTACACAACCATATCTTATAGTCAGTCTTGTAAGTTTATTCTGCTTAGTATTTTAAGTTATCCATCACAAAAGCATGTCATTATTAGTGTGCAAACACTGGCATATGGATTCATTTTTTTCTAATTGAAGCCTCTGTTTTTTGAGTATTTTATTTTTTTCTAACCATCCTTCACAACAAAACAGGGAAGAGCCTTTCTTTGCAGCCTGTGTGGGTGCATTAAATGTACTGTAAATACTTGGAAAGGGGTCCTGTATCTGGACTTACAAAATAGCATTTACTTGTAAATGACAATATTGCCTTTTGCCTATGGTATCCCAGCAGTTGGCAGAGTAACACGCTATGGCCATAATGGCCTCATATCTTGTATACTCACCAGATACACAGATATGAGTCCCCTACCAGCTCGATCATCGCTCAGGGGATGCACCTGTCTGCCGTTAGGGGATGCTCTTACCTGGGCAGGCAGGGTATTTCCTCCAGCGTGAGTCTTATCACTCACCAGTTGGATCCATCTGGGCAAACATCACTCTCCTCATCTGAACATTTACATGTTTACTTTGTCTCAGGTACTGTTCTAGGCACTGGGAATACAGCAGTGAACAAGATCGGCAAAAATCCCTCCCTGTATCCTACTGGTAGTAAAATCAACAGATGCTCATGCCTTATGTGTATTTTTCAGTTCCTAGGAGGATCACATGAGGTCACAGATATGAGATGGTTCTGAAAGATGCAGAGTCCTGTGCCAACACACACTACCCAATTTCCCGATGCAGCCCTTCCTCTTCTCTTCCCCTCATACACCTGGGACTTAGTGAGTGCTCCATCAGTGCTTAACGAAATATACATTGGAGCTGAGAGAGCCTGGCTTCCTGGTCTGATTTCTTCCTCATGGACTATAAGGGTTGAAACACATGTACAGGGTTGATTCTGCATTTAGCCCTTCCCCCCCCCCCACCCCCACAAGCCTTGGTGACTTACGGTGGATGTCCTGCTCACCCTCTCTGCTGACAGGTGCTGCATCTGCAGGCCAGAGAAGCTGGCTCTGGAACATGGCTCTGTCCTCCTTGTGGATCAGCTCAAACACACTCTGATAGATGACATCTGACTGCAAAGACCAAGTGACAACATCACCCTCCTGGGGATGCTTCTTGCTTCTCTGAGGCTACATGTGACCTGTTCACCTCAAATGTCCCTGAGTCATCTCTAGCACCTCTGATCCTTCCAGGCATCCTGGACTCGCCTGTCCTTGTCCCTCCCCATCCTGGAGGCTGGCTGGTGCATACTGTTCCTGTTTCCCTCTTCTGGTTTTGCACAGCCAACTTCTCAGGCTGCTGCTGCCCCCAGACCCAGAAAATACCCATGAGATGGGCGCTCCCATGGTGTTGGAGGCCATGCCCGTATTGTGTCTTGAAAAGGGTGGCAGTTCTTGGGGCCAAGGGAAAAAAAGAGAGACTGCCTAGCAGACAAGTCACAAATCATCATCAGGGAGATGTCCGAGGTGGGGAGACACATAGGAAGCCACTGAAATAGCCCTGGAGAGTTGGCTGAAAGCTTTGTGGAAGAAGAATGTTGAGTTTCCCGGGAAGTCAGTCATCAGCTCTTCTGGATAACACAATTAGACTGAATTAGAGCAAAGATCTCATTTCCAGCGAGATCCAAGTTTGTTCTGTCATTTGTTGAAGGAGATGAGTGAATATAAATGCTAATGTAAACTCAAAAGAAAGGGGTTTGGCAATGTAGTGACTTGAACATGAACAACAATTAAGGTATCCTGTCCTCATACAGATTTTGCAAATATTTTACACATAAAGAGAATGTTAAATAGTTTTCAGATCAGTTTGCCTTGAGAAATCTTAGTGTGTTCCTTGTAAATCAAACAGGTTTAATTTAAAAAGTGTAATGAGTCTCTCTACCCTTGCCTGTAGTTAACCATTTATTAAGTTATGTTTTATTTGGGTAAAGTTTGGGATTCTTCTTGATCTTCTGAGAGGAATTAAGTGCAGATGAAAGTTTTCTGTCAGCATTAAAAAGTTCTGATGGCCTAAATTCTACTCCAAATAAGTTATATTCTTCCCCACTCTTCCCCTGCATCCCCCAACCCACACACAACATGATTTTTAGGAACCTCTTGTACATAACCATTTTCTGCACAAAATTCAGGGAAAATGAACTTTTCAGGAGCATCTCCATCTCAGTACATGGCAGGTGCTAAATAAATTATAAGGGTCTGGTCTAATCTATGAAAGGACAAAGATGTTGAGTGGGCCTCCAGGCTGGAGGGAGGTGAAGGGCTAGTGGCATGAAGACCTGAGGAGAAATCACAGGGATGGCAGCATGGGAGCTGAGGCCAAGGGAGGCAGGCTTCCGGGGGACCACCAGGGCAACACAGAACAGACCCCGTGGAGGAAAGCAACAGGGCTCTAGCGGAGCTCAGCACCCAATATGCCGGTGCTCTCTGCCTCCACCTGGTCGCTCTATAAAAACAGCCGCACGCAGTAGTGGAATGGGAGAGCTGTGCACACAGGCAGAGGCCCCAGGCTGTGACCTTGACCTCTCTCCTGTTCACCCATGTTGCTGTCATTCTGTCTGCAGCTCTACTCACTGCCCCTGGCGGTACTGAAGGGGAAAGGCATTGCAGCTGGGCAGCACCTCCTCTCCTAACCACGTCGCACAGAAAAACCCACAGCATTTCTCTGAGATGAAGGGCTTTAGCCAAGTTTATTTTTTATTTCTTTTGGAAGCTCCTCTTTATAGGGGTTCCTGTCTCTGAACCCTCCCCTACATCACGTTTGTCCTCAGCAACGGCAAGGAAGCAGGTAGCTCGATTCTGACAGTGCGGGTATGACGAGTGTGCAGGCCTCCGGTCTGCCTTTGACAAATAAAACTCCTTCTCAGATTCTCATCTAAAAACCAGATACAGCATAATGGTACTGACTTTTTTTTCCTAAAGGAAAGGTGAAGGGGCGCCTGGGTGGCTCAGTCGGTTGAGTGTCTGCCTTCAGCTCAGGTCATGATCTCGGGGGCCTTGGTTCGAGCCCCGCGTTGGGCTCCCTGCTCAGTGGGAAGTGCTGCTTCCTCCCCTCCCCGCTCGTGCTCTCTCTCGCTATCTCTGTTTCTGTCTCTTTCTCCCAAATAAGTAAATACATAAAATATTTAAACAAAATAAAGGGGAAAAGGCTGTAAAACTCAGCAAGTGTATGCTCATCACAAGTGAGGGATAAAGTCCAGAGCTGGTGTTGGGTATGAGCTGCACTGCCCAGGTGTAGGGTTCGCATGGGAACATGAAAATTGATTGGTCCAGACTTAGGTGCTGCAGAAGAATAAAAGGCAGGCTAGAGGGAGGAACCAGGGAATTTTGAGTCCTCCTATCGCCCCGATTTCAGAAAACCTTCTGTTGCCATGGCTTTGTATGAGCCCCTTCCACTACATGGTGCGCAATGCACTTGCACAAGCTCTGCTGTTTTCAGTCTGCACAGCAGTTGTGTGGAGCATGGGCTGTCTTCCCTCAGCAGCAGGCCCTGAAAATGCCCCTCAGGTCTCCAGCTGCAGGGAGTGTAACTCAGAGGTGTCCCAGCTGCTGCCCACTGAAATCCACTGGGGCGGCAACTCTAAAGCAGGCCTGCTCCTGGGAGACGGGACTTCTCTGGTGGGCAACTTGGCCTTGAGGGCTCCCCTTTGGCCTTGTCCAATTTCCTCAGAGCCATATGGTGGGGTAATTCTCCTTCCCTAGGGTCAGATCAGAACTTTCAGGACACACAACTTTACACCCTGGCAGGAACCTCAGGAAATGGGACAAACCAACTGCTGGGGTGGCTCTTAGGTTTAGATGCTGGGAGAAGCCAGTGGTCAGTGAGGTGGTAATACCTGAGTTGTTCTGGCAGATGGCAGAAGAAGGAACAAAAAGGCTGAGGGAAATGGGTGTATTGGAACTAATGCAATTCATTAGTCAAGAAGACCCAGCAGAGATTGCATACCATGGGAGGGCCCAGGGACAAACTATACACCAAGGCCATGAGGAGTGCAATATTGGAGGGACATCAACACCACTAAGAAATTTGGTGGTAGGTGACTGTCCTATTGCAGGTCAGGGCTGATGGAAGGAGAGGAAGACACTGGGCTGGGCTCAGAAGGGCTGGGCTCATGAATGTCCATTGGGATGATGGAGCCCTGAGGTAGGAGAGGCCAGATGGCTTCAATTACAGTGATGGCTAGCAAGGCAGAAGAAATAATCAAGGAGGCTTGGACTATAAGGTGTTGTGGAGTTGGTTAATAGAGCATGGCATCTCAAGGGGCAAAAGAGATGGGCAGCCAACAATGATACTGCTTAACATCTACAATTAAAGGCAACAGTGCAAAGTCAGGAGGCTGAGGGCTGTTATCTCGATGAAAAATGACAATCCTTTGCTCAGTTTCTGGACCTGAGACAAATTTCAGATCTGAAATCCACTGACTGAAGAGGTGGCATGGTCCCTAGGTAGAAGGGCCCTACAATACCATGGCAAGGTATTTACTCAAGATACTCAAGATATTGACCATGCTTTCTACCCAACAGCACTACTTTCCACGACCTCCCTGGGATATGATATTGCCTGTGATTTACTATCTTGACTGGTGTTGGAGGGGGTAGTTTCAAGGGTTTCCTCTTGGACTTTTCTACTGTGATATCTCTCACTTTATGGGCCAAGAACCTAGTCTGGGGGTTACTCCAGTTGTCAACTAGATTGGTTCCAATTACATGCTCAGGAAATGGACAAATGACTACTGGGTGGGTCCTGGACTTGGTAAGTTTGCTGTGAACCAGACTAGAGCTGGCACTTCACGTATTATCTGGCCCCAATGGGCCTTCATCCTGACGTGAGGACCATGATGGTGCTGGGTCCCTGGACTCAGAGATGTGCTGGGGTGATGGCTGAGGGTGAGCAAAATTCAGAATGGAGAGCAGAGGAGGGCCAGGTGCTACCCTGAGACCAGCTGCAGTTTGTCCCACTCACCTCTCTCTTTTGAGGTCCCCCCTGGGAGAGAGGCTCATGGGAATTCCTCCTGTGGAGGAGTAGACTGGTGCAGCACAAGAAGTCAGTATGTGCCTCTCAGGTTTCTGACTGAGGTGCATGTGAGGTTGCCCCTCTTGGATGCACACTTGTTTGTGCTGGGGCCACTCTGCCTACAGATTGCTCCCAGCCAGTGACTGAGCATGGCAGGGACACCAAGGCAGGCCTATTCCTGGGAGCAGAGGGGCTTTTCTGCCAGGTGACTTTGGATTGAGGATGCCCCATTCTGCCAGGTGACTTTGAATTGAGGATGCCCCATTTTGCTAGGTGACTTTGGATTGAGGATGCCCCATTCTGCTGGGTGACTTTGGATTGAAGATGCCCCACTGACCCTGTACTGCAGTTGAAGACACTTCCACCCACCCCCATTCTTTCTGTCTCCTGCCCAAGGGTCAGACCTGCTGCCCCCAACCCCTGTTCCCTCCCAGGTCCTCCCAGGATTTTCTCCTGAGGAATCTCTTGCTCATCCCATCCTGCCTTGGCATCTGCTCCTCAGAGGATCTAGGCTACCATGCCCTCCACCAGATAAGGAAGTCAGTACTCTGGGAAGGCTCAGTTGAAGACTTAGGATGTGCATGTGGGAGACTGAGATGGAGACCCAGGTCTTTGAAATTCCATTGTAGTCCCACGGAGACAAGCGTCACATGGCCCTGTCTCCCTCCTCTCCCAACTAGATTCACCCAAACTCTTCAAATGAAAAGTAAAACCACTCACTTGATGAAATCCTAGGTAGTCCTGGACTGTGGGAGAGACGTAGAAAACATAGCCATCCTCTGTAACAGCCATGAGGAAGCCGTTGAGAGCCTGGGGAGAGGCAGAGAAGAGTTAGTTTGGGTTTATTCCTTATTCCTCAGTCTTGTGGAGCTCCTAAGGGCCAGGATCCAGGTCTGTGAGGGGTTTCTGTGAGTTTCCTTTTGGTGAGCAGTGCCACTCATATCCTGAATTGTCTCTTCTAAAGCAGGGCCTGGGATATCCTGTTACAAATATCTCTCACTCATACCAGCTCCTGGAGAGAAGACAAGTGTGTGTGTATATGTGTGTCTGAGGCGGCAAAGTAGAGCCAATTCCAGCTTCAATCTATTGAGAACACTGCAAACTGAATAATTAAACAAATACACACGAACATATTCTGTTTTTCCCTCTGCATCTCTGTTGTGGGTCTCACCCTTTGGTTAAAAAAAATCCATTCAAGGCTTCTCATCTGTAGGAGATGACAAAGCAGCTCCATGTTCTCCATTGGCTGAGGCTGCATGTTGGTCTCACCTGGGCAGGTGGCTAAAAAAAAGTGCTCATTTATCCTCCCACCCTTCTGGGATCTACCCTATTAGAAACTCTGAGTATAAATTTTTAACCATTTCCCCTGGGGATCCTGAGGAGGCATCCAATCTAAGGACATGGTTTTGGTCATGATTGAGATGCATTTTAATTTTAAGCTTTCAGGGGAACCATGTGGTTATTGTTTGCTTGTAAGTAAATAATAGTTAATCTCTTCTGCTCCAGAAACCTCATGCTTGCGTTCAGGATTGTGGAAATAAATGAACACCAAACAAATGAGAAAAGCAGAGGCTATGTATTCAAAGCTTGCTAGAGCAAGGGAGTCAGCCGTGGTCACTTGAGTTTTAGCAGAGACTCAAAGGCAGACAGAGGAGGAGGGAACGCTTCATAGTGGAGAAGAGGGATGGCTTCGGGTGTGACCTGCCTGGAAGCTGTTGGCATGGTGAGCCTGGAGGTGGCTAACTAGAGGCAGGGTCTCCTACATGACTGGTTAAGGGAGCGTATCTGGCTTTCTCTCTTTGGTTATAAGTTGGAAGCAGGGAGAAAAATTAGGGAAGCTGTCAGTTATTCATCACGTCCTGGCCATTCTGGGTAGATTGTTACAGAAGTCATTGTCCTGATTCCTGAATGTTACTAGAGATAGTAGTCTGATTTTCTATAACTCTGACTTAAAACAGGCTGACTTTTGGGATAAATGTTTATTGTAAACAAGGGTTTGGATTCCTGGAAAGGCTGCTGCAGGCTGTGAGTCAGAGTCCTATTTTTATATATGGTCTGGCCGTTGTCTCCTTGTATATTCAGTCTCCTAGGATAAGTGTAATAGAGAAAATGAAAGATGTGGTTCATATATACAATGGAATATTACTCAGCCATCAGAAAGGATGAATACCCACCATTTGCATCGATATAGATGGAACTGAAGGGGATTATGCTAAGCGAAATAAGTTAAGCAGAGAAAGACAATTATCATATGATTTCACTCATATGTGGAATATAAGGAATAGCACAGAGGACCACAGGGGAAGGGAGGGAAAACTGAATGGGAAGAAATCAGAGAGGGAGACAAACCATGAGAGACTTTGGACTCTGGGAACCAAACTGAGGGTTACAGACGGGAGGTGGGTGGGCAGATGGGGTAGCCGGGTGATGGGCATTAAGGAGGACACACGTGGTGATGAGCACTGGGTGTTATATGCAACTAATGAATCATTGAACGCCACATCGAAAACTAAGGATGTACTATATGTTGGCTAATTGAACATAAGAAAAAAAATTAAAATGGAGGGAAAAAAGCCCCAAAACAAAAAAACCCCAAAATAAATAAAATCTTTTAAAAAAGACCCAAATAAACTCAGAAATGAAAGACATTAAAATTGATAACAAATAAATATGTAGTATCATAAGAGACTACTGCAAACATCTGTGTTCCAAAAAACTGAAAAACCTAGAAGAAATGACCTATATTTGGAATCTGAAAAAGCTGAATTCAGAGAAACAAAGTTTAATGATGGAGCTAGAAGGTGGTGGAATTGGTAAGATGTTAAAGGGTACAAATTTGCATCTAGAAGATGAAAAAGTTCTGGGGATTATGCACTGCATCGTGATTATAGTTAATATTGTGTTATATACTTCAAAGTTGCTAAGACACTAGACCTTAAATGTTAGTGCAGAAAAGAAATAGTAATTATGGGACATGGAGCTGTTAAGCTAATGCTATAGTGGTGTCATGTTGCAATATATAAATGTATCAAACAACATGTTTTACACCTTATATATACCTTTGCACAATGTTATATATCAATTATATCTTTAGGAAATGTTATAACAAATATGATCGAAGAGATTAAGGTTACTGAGAGTACAAATGAGACTTCAGGAGTGACATCAGCAAACTGGCAGAAGGTCCCATAAACCCTCCTGTGGCGGAAAATGAGAGCTAAGTGAAATAAGCCAGATGCAGAAAAAGACAAATGCTATATGATCTCATTTATATGTAAATTCTAAAATAGTCAAACTCATAGAAGCAGAGAGCAGAATGGTGGTTGCCAAGGCATGGGGAAATGTTGATCAAGGGGTACAGTTTCATTTATATAAAAGGAGTAATTTCTGGGGATCTCATGTATAAAACTGTGACTGTAGTTAAAGTGCTATATTGTATACTTGAAATTTGCTAAGAGGGTTATCTTAAATGTTCTCATTACTAAAAAGAAGATAACTATTTTAAGTGATAAATATGTTAATTAGCTTGTTTTATATTATTTAACAATATATACATATAAAACAAGATGAAATCAGAGAGGGAGACAAACCGTAAGAGAC